AGTCTTAAACATTTTCAAGTTTCAAGTATATCAATTTGTATATTAATAAATTTATTTTAAGAAAAGTATGAATATTTAAACAAAATATCGTTTGATTTCCAGATCCATATACATAAAAGATTGATTGAAAAATGAGCAAGAGAAAGACAATCCTCACTTCTTTTTCCATTGTAAAATGACACTCATACACCACTAAAGGAAAACTGGTATGTTGTAGTCCTTCAATTGGTGCTTCAAGTTAAGCAAAGGGGAATTTTAACAATTTTTCTATAATTTTAACAATATCGCATTATAAATAAAAACCCAAGTTTTTGGCAAAATTGTTATGGGAGAATTTTGCTTTTTAAATGGCTTTTAAATGTAAAATTCATTTTTTATATGGGGAGAATCAAAATATTTATATAGAGGTATATTATTACCGCTGTTCTGTACCTTGAAAAATATTTTCACAAAACGGTTTTTATATATCGAAATTGAAGGAAAAATGACGCCATATGTTGTTCGGGTTTAATATAACAATGCTTTGGCAACTGTGAAGTACGCCTACCGATTTTCAACAGATAACTAAATTTTTCAACAATAAATGAATAGTTTCATCAACATACAATACCATTAGCAAAATTCTCAGATAACAATTTTGTCAAAAGTTAAGGGTCTTATTTATAGTAGCAATTGTCAAAATTATAGGAAAATTTTTAAAAATTTCCCATGGGCCCATGAAAACATTTGTTCACAACGTCAAGAAATACAGCACACTAATGTTTTTTGCATAAGAAAGTGCCCCCTGGCCTTTGCCGCGCTTTTCCACCACGATGCGCCATTCGAGGTCGAGTTTACTCGGCGCAGCTGAAATGATTGCGCCACAAATCTGAACGTTAGCGCAGCGGGAAGAGTTGATTTATTTCTCATCTCATTTCTTTCTCAATATGCGGTCGTGCGGTGTATAAGCTTAATTGGTCCGAACATGTCGCGCAGGCCAATCGCGAGGTCGTTTGACGTGACAGTCAGATGTGACCCCCTCCTACCGCCCGTTATCAATGCGGCGAATTTGTCTTTGTTTGCGCCATATAGACTCGCCAAAAGCCCAACAATGTCGAGACTAATATCGGAGCTGCGACACACAATATGCATTTCTGTGATTTGTATTGCTCGAGCACGATCGCCTCCGTCCGATAAGCGGCGTCACAATGGAGGCTGAATTTTCGACAAACTACGATCTGACTACGAAATGAACATTATTTTGACTGCGATGTGTGTGAGTGATGGCGTGACATTCTCGTGCTGTTGTATACGGCCCGGCGAATAACGAGCGTGTAAAGCGAGGACCAAAATATTTCGTCGTCATACAAGATCAAAACGAGTCACTGATAAAATGGTTGACACCCACTGCCAACTCAAAAAAAACTTACTTCACCCCCGGTGAAACGGCGAGTGAAAATCCCATAACCTCTACACTATATTAACAGGTAAGGATAACAACAGAACAATGCTTAATGGAAGATGATGGATTAGTAAGTTGTGGTAATGAGAAAATTATGGAATCGATCCATATTAAGAAGTGGAGGATGGAACACCTGATTTTAATTCACCGATATAGATGGCAGCGAAATTGTTTATCTAGAGAAGCCATTGTAAGACACCGAGGGTGTTCTAAATAAAGGTGGGACATATTCATCTGTGCAATACCACTACCACTACATCTCCTGGAAAAATAGGAAAACCCATAGCAATAATTCACGCTGGGACAAGACCAGGGTTAATACCAAACGCTTTGGAGTTATCTGCAAAAAATATGAAGGAATCGCTTGTTGACTTATATATGAAGGTTGGTTAGAGGACAAATTATTACGAAATATTCCACCAAAAAGCGTGATAGTAATAGACAACGTGAGCTATCATTAATGGTATATTGAATAAAGTTCCTAGCATCCAGCAGTCACATTCCATGGATCAGCAGCCACGGAATTATACTTATTAGACTTAGACTCATAGTTTTGGTTAGTTTGACGAGTTTTATCATTATTCTCTTGATAACGATCGGATAAAACAACAATAATAATAATAAACTGTCTATAAAAAATCAAAATTATCGTCATTCGCAAATTGCGCTATTCCATGTAACCACAAGAACCTAGACAACAGCACCAACACCATCATTGTCAACAAACACATACACATCATCAACTCATACGTTAACAAGGAGACATAACCTGATCACTTAGCGTAATCTTAAAAGAGGCGTTTCTTAAAATTTCTTCTCTTTTATTTCCAAATAATAACATTTGCGTTTTGCTAGTATTATCCAAATTTATTTTAGTAGCAGCATTTAAAGCCTACCTAGCAACAAGTGAGTATCATCGGCGTATTGATGAGATTTACAATACTTACGAAAATTAAAGAGAAGTCGGCTGCATAAACTAAGAACAGAATAGGTTGCAGAATACTCCCCTGGGGAACACCCCTTTCCAAAGCAAAAGCATCTTAATGAGTATCTCTTGAAATTAAAAAAAAATTAAAGTTTTCAGGCAAGAGAAGGAAATGATCCTAGGTGTTGAACGCTTTGCTATAGTCCAAGACTATAAGACAAGAGTTTAATATAGAATCAGCTGCTCTTAATAAATCATCAGTAACATGAAGCAAGGCAGAAATAATGTAAAAGGTCGAAAACCCGATTGAATGTACGGGAGGATTTTGTCATCGCATAGGAACTGACGTAGTGGTTTAGCTCTATTTTTTTCAACAACCTTTGAGTTGGTGCACCAAAAATTTTTAGGAGTTTTCTCAATTCTCAATACTCGTTTTAAGCAATATCTGATTTAAGACGGTTGTATCTTAAACTTGACATATTTTTAAGTTTTATTAAAATTTTAAGGGCATCTTGAATGAAGCATGAATATCATATAATTCATATTATTCCTAATTTATTATCGAATGCCGAACAATCTTCAAGGGTCTGAAAAAGTGGTGGATTTTGGTCTTTCTCCAGCTTGAGAGTACAAGAAACAATACAGTGATCTGAGATATCACTTACATCATTAACTTTAATATTGAGTGGTGACCAGTACATCAAAAAGCGAACTAGAGTTACCCGACTGTTTGAATATCGGAAACAAGCGGGAGTATTAATTTTTAACAAATCAACATTGAAATCTCCGCCGAATATCAAAAAATCAAATTGATGAATAAGCGCGTTAAGGACGATTTCCAGAGAGTAAAGACAATCAAGTAAGTTAAAAGTTGGAGGTCTGGTATTCCTAGACACATGGTTTTCCCTTCGATCTTAATAGACAACCATATTTGTTCGAAACTATCATTATATATACCGACACATACGTACAGATACATGTCAACTAAAACATTGCGATATAATTTAAGGTAAAAGCAATGGAAGTCCAAACAAATACTTTCCCTCTTCTTGTAATCGTATCGTTAAGACAACTTCTAACACAATTTATTGATCAAGACGTTTTTACTTTTTAACAGTTTCATTTTACCTTTTGGTCAATGCTGTCACCGGTTAACCGAGCAGCGTTGGACGACAGCATCGAAAAGAAAGTCATTCAAACTGAAATCTAGAGATATTTCGTTAATCGCTTCGTCGATTATTTTTCATTCGAATGATCCCAACACTAGTTATTACTGCAAAATGTAGTTCAAAGATTTATCCGATTCGGGCGTATATATCTTCCGGCCGGGATTTATGGCGAAATGAACCGAATTACTTTAATTTATAACGATAGTTTGAACCCCATGGCTTTTCTTTAATGCCACAGTCGATTCGGTGTAGTTTATATATAATGCAAAATGTAGATGTTTGGTCCTTTGTGGAGAATAATAATGATTCTTTAAAAAAAAACATTTATTGAATTTATAGGGGTGGAACACTAAAAGGCAAACATAGGGTTTTCTTTAGTATTACTTACTCAGTTAGTTCTTCAAGAGTTCCCCATCAAATATTCGGAGTTTTATAGCAAACTATTTGGTTTTATTAAGTAAGAGTACGAAAAAGTTTCTTAGAATAATATATAATATTGGCCTTCATTGGTGACACGCAATGAACTCGGTTAACTGGATTGATAAAGGCAAGCCCACAGGGCAAATTTGTAGATACTGCCATCCATTGCAATTCAAGGACAATCAAGTGATAATGAAGAAGGTACTATCAACAAAAATGTGGTGAAATCTGTCGTAGTATCAGCTAGATCTGAGGCACTGTATGTTTGCATTTCCTTCCTTTATCCATGTGTGACTTGGTTTTCTACCATTGATGAAGGGAAATAAACAGTAAACACATCTAAAGCTGCTACGATACATTTTCCAAGAAACTTTTTCTTATGTATTACTGATAATCAAAATCAAAGAATGTTTATGATCAAGTTTTGCGCCATCACAAGACGCACGCAAGGGAAAAGTAGAGAAGCAAAATAAGTTCAGCGACCCCCCCAATGGTGATTGGTTGGTGATTTTAGTGTTAAAAACTTTATGACTATTTGAAGTGCAAAAAAATGTCAAGGATTAGTATATTATGCAACAAGTGCGGTAAACGGCATTTGACTCACGAGTTTACGAGCAGTGCGAGTGTCTGATAAACGAGTGAGTTAAAAAGTTTACCGAACGTGTTCCATACTAAACTTTTTCTAGGAGCGTTAGTTTTTCGGTACATTTTCGCAAAACAACACGAATCCATTCACTGACATGACTCTCAGAATTGACAAACGTCAAAATTCAGAGTGTGGGATATATCTCCGAAACCGTGCGGTAAAATCCCGTAAATGTCCGAAGTGGCTCGCATTCATGGGAAACGAAACTGACGTGGTAAAGTGACGCTTCCCGCACGATAGATAGGTGGGTAATTAGGTATTTTACAGACGGAAGTAGAAAAAAAATTATAGAGCCAAGTTGGATAAGTTCATTCCTTTCTCAAAATTTGGGTCAAAGCGGTTAGTACTTTCAATTTTAAATATACAACGAGTAGGAATGATTTTGAATTTTTGTTGCAGATAAACGACATGCGGACGGCAGGATCGCCGGACTCGAAACCGTTCAACTCGATCGTCGTTTCCGGCCGACACTAATTAATAAATAAATAAACAAATTTCGTTTTAAAATGAAACCATTAAAAACGTACTGAATTGCGAGCGGCCGACGACGTCACAGTTATCATTTATTTGGGACGGGTAAACATTATCCGAGTAAAAATTCAACAAAATTATGTAAACACGAACGTTTAAATCAAACAAAATGTCAGAATTTGGCGAATTTATCCGGAAAGCGAATTTAAGGCCTTTTCAACTTATGCTAATATAAAATATATGCCTAAATATGTTACGTCAGGTCTCCCGGCAGGCAGGGTCGGACTCGCACGAATTCAGTCTCGGCCCTTTGGAAGCCACGTTGAGTTTTTTGTGGTTTTTCGTGCCCCTGATGTCGACCGTATCGTTGACTAGTGTTACCGTGTCCATCAGCACCAATCACTGGCTCCACACTACCGAAAAAATGACCAATCCCGCATACAATGGTACGGGAGACTCCGACAAGGAGTATCTGCTGAAGATGACCATCTCCGGCTTGTGGATCTACTGCTTCACTAACCGTGAGTAACAAAAAGCTTTTAAAATTACGATGTAGGCCTATGACGTACACGTACAAAAGACACCAGATAGGTCCTTATTTGGAAATTAAACAAGAAAGTGGTACAGGCAAATGAGGTACAGAATTATTTGCTAAATTGTCTTATATTAGTCGGAATTAATCACTCAGTTTCGTAACAAAATGTCGATAACTTAAAAGCAGACATATGTTATATTTTTAAAAGTGAAACTTTGATGGGCAAATTTGAATTGCCGTGAATGTTCCGGTGTGTTTGACTTTTTCTTTTTTTTGTACTGCGTTCTAACAATTATTGCGGGTGGTCATTTCTGTATGTAAGTAGGATATGATCAAATATGTTAATTTGTGCTCTGAAAACCTTTTAATATGCGATCATATTTCCAGAATATGTTTACAAATTGTTGCAAATTCATAGAGAGAGTTGAGAGTACTTCATAATATTGAAGTGCAATAAAAACTCGTATCAATTAGAATGTGCATTAATTTTCCCGAATTTCGGTGCATTCAAATTGAAATTTTCACCACGTGTTTTGACATTTCGACGTTTACGTATTATTGGTATTTGGGACCACTTCTTGACCTTCTACATCGTGAAACATATTCTATCGCCAAAGTACATTGCCATTCACTTTTTAAGACATTATTGACGCTGAGTTGTCTGGTCTATTTTCGATATACCGTCATTGATATCGACGTATACATCGACGGCATTAATAACCAAAGCCGACGACGTATATCAAATGACTTTCGCTTTAATGCTTTTGTGTCGCTACGTACGCCAAAAGACGGTGTGTTTTTGCAGTTTCTGTATTACAAATAACTCCGTCATTACGTGGAGTTTCCATAAACAATCTGAAAACTTTATGTAGCGTCCTCTGTTTGCCGAGCGTCAACACTCCGTTTCTGTGCTATTTGTTTTGGCCTTGTTACGCCGTTGTTTGCCCCGGTTTTTACTTTTAGTTATCATATATGGTTTAATAATGGTTTGCGGTGGTTTATTCGAAAGTCGCCGCGCTGCTTATAATACAAAAGAGGGGTAAAGTGAACATATTGATACGGTTGTATCGCTATTTTCAGAGCGAAACGTCAGCATCCAGTGTTATCCAACCAAAGTGATATTCTTTTTTCTTACCCTTATATCGATAACCTTAAAATGATTCCAGACGTCATCAATGTTTCAATATTTAAATGAATGTCGGGTGCCAAAATGGATCAGGAACTTTTTGTGGATAAAGTAATATATTATGTCGAACTTACTTATTCTTCCTTACAACCAGCGTTAGTTGCACGACAAACTTTGTATAGAAAATTCCTGTATATTAACTTTTTAGAGTTCAATTATGGGCAGTGGGGGTTTATTTAAGAATTGTCTTTCTCGTTCAATATTACCGGCGAGCTAAATCAAGCACTTAACCGGCAGTTTAATCGAATTAACGAAGTTAAACGTCGGAACCGAGGGGTCATTTCGCCCACCCCCCTTCCCTGTCGGACCTCGCCCTGAGCACTTATAGCTCATTTCAGCGTCGCGATATACCTTGAGATATAGACGATTATTTATTGAAGCGAAAGCCGTTTAGTAAAAGCTCTTTGAATTTAATACCGGCCACGTTAAGGCTTACAATATTCATGGATTGCTAACCGACAACCCTGGGGGCCAATATCGCGGCTGCAGCCCGCAAATATCCCGCCCCGCGTTTGTTAATGGACCGGCCGCCATATTTAAACCCTTGTTCCATCGCAATTTCGTACGGCGCTGCAGCGGCGGTGGTTTCTTCAACCCCCGAGGTCTATCCGAAACAAATTGTAGCGGAATTTGATACGGTTTGACGAAAACCAATCTGAAACAAAGGGTGATTTGTTTTGCTTTAAAGAAACGATCCTAAATGTTGTTTCGAAATGAGAAATTGTTTACTTTTCAATTTTTTCTTACAAAGAACATGCATTCTGGACATTGGTATCGACTTTTAACGTAAAACTATAGTTATGGTGACTACAAACTAGAGAGTAAAATAAAAATATATTTTATTACCATGAAACACGAATAGATGTCACAGAACAGGGCCTTGTCCGTATCCGCTAGTCAGTATAAGTGCAATATACTTTATATTTCTTCACATATTTCATGCCTATTTTATTAAAATTGATACAACTTTTACTGTTACTACAAAGCGTGGAAATAGAAGTGACCATCAGGTTGTTACCAAATACGCTTCACCACAATTTCCACACTCGACACTGTGGCCTTACATTCATAACATTACATGTTAAAACCAGATTTAGCAGTTGTCCAAAAAGCACAGCAATACAAAATTTTGGGGCATCAGGAGTTGAGGGCCGGACGAAAAATTTCAACTAGGCTAAAAGCACATGAAATAACTAAATAAACCAAACTAAAATTCTCGATTGCAATCAATTTTTTTAACAATTCGAGAATCGATAGAAATCTTTAAACAACCAGACAATCTCGAAGCTCAGGTTCTTTCAGTAGTACGAAAATCCAAGACAATGTTCATGTCCTTTCCTTAGCTCTGCCTCATTCAAACAGTAAATCAGCAAATACAGGTTCAGTTAGGCTCTGAAGAAGCCAACAGTATGGTTGGCTACGCAGGACGAATCCAGAAGAAACATATACATCAAAGATGCCTTCTCTTGGGTCAGAGGTGTAACTATTCCCTTGTACAAAAGATGTCAACGATGCATGTGCGTTTAGAAAGTGAGTTTGATGCTCGATGCATAGCAACTGTGGCTTGTCCAGTCTACTTTAGATATAATATCACTATCAATTCGTTTCCGACACATTTCGGAGCTCCCTTTAAAAAATGAATAACTTTTCCAGTGAACCACTATGAAGCACTTATCTCCGATACTGGCTGACGTCTCCCATTGACTGAGCAAATGTAACAATAACTTTTTCTTTCCTTGTTTTCGCTTTGTATCGATCACTTCCCGATCTCGCATGGTTTATGATTTACAATGTCCCCCCAGCTGTAGGGGATATCCGGCTGCGTCCCAAATACGTGTATTATTATTATATACGATATAGTTAAGTGGTTCGGCCGTAGGCACCGATAAGTTGGCCTCTACGTTAATGGACTTGTCATGTTGGAAAGAAAACGTTACTTTTCGATTATGTGTTGCCTCGACGCATCGACCGGATAACTTGGGCTTCTACTTCGTGGAGAAAAATGGGAAGGGAACGCCTCTCTCTGCCGGCCTCCGTAGTGAATTATCTGGCGAGGCGTACAATAACGGGAATAAAAGACGCGTCACGAATAACACTCGGTATGTCGAAGTGTTCTCTCTAAGAGGATTCCGGGGTTGGCTCCACTCGCGCGTGGGCGCTCTTGCTTTTTTAGGGTTATTTATGCCCGGTTTAACTTCGTTAAAGTCCGTGGCTCGAGCTGTCAATCGAAACCTCGGGGGATCGAAGTTCATCATCAGGGTTTGTCTTTGCCTCGATCGAATTGCGCAAGTTGTTTTTTATTTATATTTGTTTCGGGATTAGGTTGAGACGTATTTATTTTTATACCCGTACTTGAATTTGTTTGTTTTTTATAATTTATTTGTAGACTGTGTAGCTTAACCATGAGGAATGCTTCCTTCGTTAAGCTTAAGAAAACAAGTTTTTCAGTGTTGAGTGCACAATTTTTGCTTTGCTTTTTATTTTATATAACTAGTATTTCAAGTATATTTCCAGATATTGAGATATATATATCTAGGGTTTTTTTTACAAACTAAATTAGGATTTATAAGTCTCTAACTTGTAAAGAGCGGCAGCTGCACGTTTCTTTAATCTTTTAAAGTTTCATAATTTTTGTTCTTACGTACATATTTGTATATATGAAAAAAATAGATTTCGATCGTATTGCAAATGTAAAAATTTAAAAATAAATTAGAATTCTTTTCGGCATTGAATTTATTTTAAATAATGTCTCGGGAACTGCTGCGCATAACGATGTCTACCATTTTAAGATATAAATGAGGCCGAAGTAGAAATTTTTAATTACAAATCTTGTTTCTCCAAAAAGTTCTGAAGTTTCAAAAGATTAACGAGAGATATCGAAAGATACCCAAATACCAATTGGCATGTAAATATCACCATCACTTCGAATATTACACCTCCATGTCAACTTTTTGTTGAAAGCAACCTTAAAGTTAAGCTACATATTTAATTAACACCCTGTAGAATTATGTTAACTATGTCCTAAAATTTACCAAAGCATCATTGCTTGAAGATACATAGTTAATTAACACCCTGTGTAACTATAAGTATTATTAAAGCGTGAAAAAAAAGTGAGAGCTGAATTTCAAGTTTGACATTTGAAAGACTTAATAGACTTATTTTCAAAACATGAAGCTAAAGGTATGATACATACAAGTTTTTTCTATCTATTAATTACCTTTTTCAAGCTATTGATTCTGTTAAGTTGATTGAGATGTGGTCTGTGAAGTAAAATATGCACTTTGTTATGATCATTCTAGTAATGAGACAGTTGTGATCATTAAGAGATTCTACGGGCCTGTTCTTTAGACTTAAAGAACGAGTTTATCACATATAAGGAATTGACAGAAGTAGACCCGCGTTATCAACTTAATCAAGTTTAACTCACGAGTTCCCTCGACACTCGATGGTGGGACAAACCCATCACGTTAGCTCGTCTGTCCGAGCTCTTAAGTTAATTTGGTTTCTCGTCAGCACTTCCTAAATCAAAACATACTCTTTTCGAGCACATTATAAATCATCCTTCGCGTTATCGCAAAATAAACCAGCGGCTGCCGATCGTGACATTCCGAGCTATACGTAACCTATTTGTGTCGAGGTGAAGCCATCGAAACTTGTTTTTATTTCCCTCCCCGAACGATAAAAACTTTAAAGAACCGATAAACGGGGGCAGGTCCCGGAAGTTATTTATTGCAATAACTTGTTTCCTTTGTATCGAACTTCCTCCTAGCGGGGAAGCTCCTAAAACGAAAATGGCCGAT